TAGTATTGTATTTCTCTACTAGCAGGGATATAAATAATTATAATTTGATAACTTTATAACGCGTTTAATTTTAATGTTGTAATTTACAGTACTTTCGTAACTTTTATTGATAAACAAAATATATAAATCTCCAATCTTGTTTAAACTGGCGCAAGTTATAGCGTGTATACTTTTAAGTTTATGAATGTGAAATCTAACTAATGCACTATACGCTTTCATATTCAGTATGTATTTATTGTATTTAAACAGAGGAACAGGTACGGTTGGTCAATAAGACTTCCTCCAATGAAGGCACGGTTGAAATATATCGATCTGGGTCCTGGGGAGGAGTGTGTAAAAACAGAATGACGAAAAAAGATGTCCAAGTTGTGTGTCGAGAGTTTGGTTTGCCTTGGTATTTTTTAATTGTGATTTCTTAAAAACTTCCAAAAGTAATAATTCAGACATACCCAGATATGCATAGTAGTTTATAACAAACATTTTCACTGAGGAATAAACAAAATTTCAAGAGGTCATTTAGATGTTTTTTAGTCGATGAATTCTTTCTTTGAATTTAAAAAAAGTGTCATTTTTGTGATGAATTAAAATAATAAAAATCAGGGATGCTTCTAATTTAATCTTCATCGTACTTTTTAAGAGTTTGAGCTCTAAAGAATTTACTTTAATTGATTTATGATCATGTTTCAGGAATGATGCTCAGTTAATTAGAAATATAGGCACTTTACCAAGTTCCTACTTCAAATGGTCTAATATTAATTGCAATGGAACAGAACAAAGTCTTCTAGATTGTGAAAGAGATTATGACAGCAGCACTTACTGTTATAACGCACGTCCTGCAATAATAGCATGTCCAAATGGTAATTATCAACTATTTCATAACAGGGATTTACATGTAGCAACGCTATCCTTAGTGAACAGTCGTCATCCCCACCCCCTCCCCCAATTTTTTCTTTTAAATTGACTATGATTTTTGTTTAATAAATACATGAATAGAAATTGTAAATTCGGACGATGGCGAATAAAAATATCTCCTTTTCTGCTTTCTCAGAATAAGTGGGGTTTTTAAAAAACTTTTCAACAGTCAGTGTTTAAAACATCTAATGTAAATTCATTATTCATAACAGTACTGATACTTTTAAAAGTTTTAAAATACTCGTATTACTCCCTTTTTGATACCTATAAAAACGTAGTTCATCTGAAACCTAGCTGAGCTTAAGATCGATATTTAAGAAAAGGGAGAGCAAAAATTATTTGTTTTACTTGGTCAATGCAAATTGTTCCAACTTCATAATACTCTATAATTAGATAACGACCGAGGTTTTTGGGATGATTTTTCATGTAGTTTTCATTTTTGGTGAATTCAATTATACAAAAGAAAAAAAAAATGAATTCTTCTGTGAATTTAGCTAACTATGGACAATGACAGCAGTTCATTCTCTTGAATTTTTCTTACGCTAGAACCATGGATAAGGCTGGTATCTAAACAAACAACTAATTCAGAAACTAGTGGAATTTTACAAGTGTATCACAATAAAGAATGGGGTTATGTTTGTGAAAGTGGATTTGATGAGGATGATGCTGTAGTAGCCTGTCGAGAACTTGGATTGCCAACGTAAGAGTTTTTACACCTGTGTTTTGTTTCAATATATTTTTTTTAAAAAATGTTTAAAGGATTGATCTAAAATGATATATTAAAACGTTGAGAAAAGAACGTTACCCTTACAAAAATTATGCAACTTTTAAAAACATTGCTATAGTGAAAATATATTTTAATTTACAAAAGAGAGAATTAGTAACATTAGCCTTAACATTTTCACTTGATGAACAATCATAAATGACTGATATCGAATTGAAAATTGAGTCTTTAGCAAATTCGTTCTTGTTTGCCTCAGTATTTTGTAATAATTTTCTGTTAAAACAGGAAATACGTGCAAGAAAAATCTGCAAGAACATCTTATGGTTCCAAAACGCACCTGAAATATGTCAATTGTAATGGTGATGAAGAAACTCTGTCTGATTGCTCTGCTGACAATGGGAGCTATTGTTCAACTTATAGAAACACCAGGGTTAAGATCTTCTGTGATAGTGGTAAGACACAATTCAACAAACAAGTTCCATTATCATAAGCAACTGGAGTAGAAAAAAAATTATTCGATTATAAATTGCTAAATATACTCCTGATTTCTCTTATGGTGGTTTTTAAAAGTTCGATCTCAAAACTGATTTTTTTTTAAAGAAAATATGTTTTAATTGCAAACGTACTTTTAACATGGATGCAGTGGTTTTATTTACAAATGGATTTACCTTTCTTGTTGCTACATATTATTTGTAACTAGTAATTTTTTTATTCATTCCACTGTCATCAAATGAATAGGGAGACTATAATTTTTGGTTGTTCCTGGGTAGTACTACATTTAAGGTAGGATTCTTCTCTGCTTTCTGAGTAGATAAAATATTCAATGGTTATTTGCTTACATGTCTTGTCTTTTATATTTAGTTAAAAGAGATTTAAAAGACCAAATTTTTCTTCTTCATCACAATTGTACAACTTTAAATAGAAATGGTCAATTATGTTTGAAAACTAGCAGGGACTGTATTTTTGGCGGAATGGTGGCGTATGAAAATATCTTTTTTTTCTGCCTCTCAAAATTATTATAGAACTATGAATTTAGTTATAATTTTTACACAATCAAAGACTAAAAGAATTTTTCAAATGTTAGCTAAATTATTATATGGAACTAAAGTTTTAAAATTATATCAAATAAATATGAATTTCCAAACAAACTACAATTATGAAAGCTTTTGAAAGATACGATTCTAAGTACAGATTTGAGCCAAAAATCCATAGAAAGTGTTTTTACTCTCTTACTAATCGGTCAAAACTTTTTGTTTTTGTATTATTTTGTATCTCTGTATGACTGCTTTACCATATTTGAAAATAAGAAAAAGTTAATTATAGGACGCATATAAAAATTTAAGAAAAACAGAGAAAAATCGGATTAGCCAAAATCCTTTTTTGTTAAACTATTTGTGTCAGTTTGGTAATATCATCTTATAGACCCTATATGGTAATATCTTTCTTTGCAAAAAGAAAAACATTTAAATAGAAGACCCTCTATCATGATTGGATGCTGTTATTTTTTATTCTTAATGACAAGGGAAAAGGTTATGACCTTGACCTGACCTTGACTCTAATATAAAACGGCCAAAACTAATCTAACTAATATCATCAGTTAGTAATATTGTCTTCTTTGTTCTGTGAAAATTTCATGAATTTTTAAGTACAAGAAATACAGTTTTGTATGAGAAGAATCCTACCTTAACTGAAAATATTTTTATGACATATTGAAATCAGAAGTTGTTTTAATGAAAACAATGGCCATTGATGGAACTAAAAGTAACCCAAGGCATACCATTCAAACATATTTCAAAAATGATTTATTAATGTTTTTTAAATTCTTTTGTAATTGAATACAATTTCATAATATGCGCTTTCTAAGAAAAATGAGAAGTTTTCAAGATCATTTTTTTTATTATCTGTTCTTATCCAATTTTTAATTGTTCAAGAAAGTAAATGTTTTTAGAATGCCCTCACATGAAGTACGGTGACAATTGTGAAGAAGACTGTCCGTGTAACAGCTATAATACCGAAGCCTGCGATTTGGAGACTGGAGAATGTATATGTAAGCCAGGGTATACCGGGTTCTCCTGCAATTGCCAAGTTGGTCTTCATACCTGCAACTTAAACGTTTCTGATTGCTATGAGGACTCGCATGAAGTATCATGCATTTGCAAAAGAGGTTTTACGCAATCGGAGCACAATTGCACAGGTAAATTAAATGTTATTCTTCTTGCATAAGAAATATGTCTTCAGATATGTTCTTTAAAGGTATTGCAATCTACGGATATAATCTTGATATTAAGTTTGGAAACATTTTATCCAATATTGTTAATTTAACTTCTAATTTTCATGCTCATATTTTTGTCATTAGTATTTTATTACATATTTACAATTAAATTCATTATGGGTTATGAAAAATAACAAAACTGTGGGTAATAATCTTTAAAATTTTCATTCTTTGCTTAATGTTTCTAAAATTAAAGTGCATGTAAAATGTAAATTTTATTTATTTTTTGTTACAGACAATGTGCGCCTAAGTCAGGAAAAATTTGTGCAAGTCTTCAAAGGTGATGGATGGTCTGGTATCTGTACTAGCAACCTGAAGTCTAACGCTTTAGTTATCTGTCGCCATCTTAACCTTAGCACGTACGTATCGCGGGCATTTCAAGATCCCTGTTTTACATTTATTTACTTTTTACATACAATTATAAAAGAAGGACAAAGCACTTGTAAATACACAAGTCAAGACTATATCATCACCATAAATGTGTAAATGCGCTGTACCGGCAGTTTCACTTGAATGGAAGTGAAACTGACCTGAGGCCTGTTGAACAGAACGATCGCGAGCGTCCTTATAATACCTTCAATAGAAATGTTTGCGAGCGCTCGCTCTATTGAATATAGGCCTGAATTGTCAACAGTGAGGATGTTGGGGTAACCACTGCTTGTCAAGATAGTTATTTGCTTTCGCATATGAGAAATCTTGACTTACAGGTTTATTGTTTGATTAATAAGGCTGTTGCGTTAATCTCGTTATTAATTCAGCCTTTATCACTTTATAATTATCAGAATAATGATTATAATAAAATGAATGTTTCATGCATGTACGTGTATTTGATTAGATACGATTGCCAGTCACCTGGCATTATGCAGAACTACAATGTTATATATTGGTATTTATTGACTAGAGGGTCAAAAATGTTGACAAATTATTACAGTTCTATACACCTTAAAGTAAATAAAACAAGAAGGGTGTTAGTGATTATCCTAAGCAACTATTTTAGTTGCCAAAGATCTAGTATATAGTGAACACATCTTATCATTTAATGAAAAATGCTATTCTTTCAGGGAAGTTGTATATTCAACTTCAAAGTATAGGAGATATGACTATACTAGGACGTCGTTCAGTTGTAGAGGAACAGAGAACATGCTGTCGGAATGTCCTTCTAGAACGGGCTCCTCTTGCTCCTACTCTCCAGTCGTCCACTGTGGCGGTCAGTCTCCAACTTTATGTCCGATGCATTTCGAAGTTTTTTTTTTGCTCAGCAATGATCTTGTATCATTTAGATAGACTTTTACAGTTTTAAGCTTCATAAGTGTCTGTGATAATTTTTTATTTCCTCTTTGAAGAAAGACCTTTATTAGCTCACCTGAGCTGAAAGCTCAAGTAAGCTTTTCCAATTATATTTTGTGCGTCATCCGTCTGTCTGTCTGTCTGTCTGTCTGTCCGTCTGTAAACTTTTCACATTTTCGACTTCTTCTCCAGAACCCCTGGGCCAATTTCAACCAAACTTGCCACAAAGCATCCTTGGGTGAAGGAGATTCACATTTGAATTCAAATGAAGGGCCATGCTCAAATTTAAGGGGAGATAATTGGGAATTAGTTAAAATTTGATGGCATGTTTAAAATATCTTCTACGCAGCATTGTTAAGGCTTGAAAAAGGGGGCGGAGCCTAATTTATACGTAAAAAGTTTACTGTGACGTCACACAAAAATATGACTTTTATGTATTTCTCATAATACATGAAAATGAAATAATTTGCAACTGTTAACTGTATTAGCATAATAAAAAACAATAAAACTTATCAATGCATAAAAAAAAACTTGCTATTTAAATCCCATATAGCTGGTTTTAAACAAAGCACTCATCGCGATGAACTTGTAAGCATGACGTCATTTTTGTAAAAATGACGTATTTCATGTACTGTGAGAGGCAGATTGAGGGATTTTTTAACAATGAAAAATGCGTTTTATTAGTAAACGGAATGTTATTTACAGGTTTTAAATAGCCGATTAATACCAATGTATATCCTTTGTTTAGTGCGATTATTCATTAACTATCTAGATAATGTATCTTATTAATTATGTCGTGTTTTTATGAACAGGTTACGTATATTACACATCGAGATGCCTCATAAAATCGCACTTTCGCAAGGGCATACACTAAATAGATCTTAACCATTTTTTGAATATAGATATAGGATATTTTTCTAACTTGAAAAGTGCTGCTGCTTTCTTTAAATCGAGGGCGTGATTTTAAAAGTACACAAAATATTTGGTAAAAGTCAAACAAATTTCGACATTGGCTTATTTACCTGAAAATTTAACTATTAAAACAGAATTCTATTCAAAGCAGCAGCACTTTTCAGAAACTACAAAGTCTGCAGAAACAATTAATAGCTTGGATTTTTAATTTCAACAAGAGTATGCCCTTGCGATATTGAAATTTGTTAATGACCTACATTCAGTACACATACTATGCATTTATCACGTGATTGTCCATCGACGGGACCAAACTTTATGCAGTGCAGAGTGGGTTATACTATGCTATTTCCATAAGTCTTTCAGTTCTTCGATAATAAATCAGCTTAATGAAAATAAATTCAGTTTTAAAAAAATCCTCCTTTTTGCACGTACATTTTCCGTTGATTTCTCATAGTAGGCCTTAACAGTGCTGCGTACTCAAGAACCACTGTGGCTGGAAAGATGAAACTTATGGTAAATCATCCTTAGGTAGTGTAGATTCAAATTTGTTCTAATCATGACCCCCGGGGTGGGGCGGGGCCACAAGGGACGATCAAAGTTTTACATAAAAATATATAGGAAATATATTTAAAAATCTTCTTCTCAAGAACAGCAAAGCCATGATTGGTCAAATTTATATGAAAGCATCCTCAGGTAGTGTAGATTCAAGTTTGTCCAAATCATGACCCCCGGGGATAGGTTGGGGCCACAAGGGACGATCAAAGTGTTACATAGAAATATATAGGACAAATATTTAAAAATCTTCTTCTCAAGAACAGCACAGCCATGATTGGTCAAATCTATATGAAAGCATCCTCATGTAGTGTAGATTCAAGTTTGTTCAAATCATGACCCCCGGGGATAGGTTGGGGCCACAATGGACGATCAAAGTTTTACATAGAAATATGTAGGAAAAATATTTAATAATCTTCTTCTCAAGAACAGCAAAGCCATGGTTGGTCATTTTTATATGAAAGCATCCTCAGGTAGTGTAGATTCAAGTTTGTTCAAATCATGACCCCCGGGGATAGGTTGGGGCCACAAGGGACGATCAAAGTTTTACATAGTAATATATAGGAAAAATATTTAAAAATCTTCTTCTCAAGAACAGCAAAAGCCCTGATTATTCCTATTTACAATGAAGCATGCTCAGGTAGTGAAGATTATTTTTGATCCAATCGTCACGGTCGGGTGGGGTAGGGATGGGGGCAGACTTCAAGGGTAAAAAGAAAAAAAGCCATATTTAGTAAAGAAATATGCAGGCATCTTTGTTAGCGTAGATTCAAGTATTCAAGTTTGTTCAAAGCACATTCCCCTCCATTAGCCACAGTGCTCAAGTGAGCGATGTGGCCCATGGGCATCTTGTTGAAAAGAGAATATTGTTTTCCTGCAAATCAGGTAGAATAGGAAATTTTCTTAATATTAATATATATTTCCTGCCCGAAGATGTGTTTATAGTATTTTATTATATAGAACTCAAGGATTAATTTTCCTCATTCCGACACATTTGTTCATTTTTTTTTTCATTTTCATAATTTTTGTATCGAAGAGATCTTCTCGTGAAATATAATTAGTATGAAAATTTGCGATGTGTGTTCCATTTTCCATTTTCTTATCACAATATATTTAGTTATATACTGGTATCAAGAATTTAACAAAAATGCTTATCATACATGTATTACAAACATGTACTATATTTCAGACAATTTTGCCCCATTTTAAATTCGCCCATTCGTGGTTTTACTTTTAGAAATTATACTGTTTTCTTTGAATTTACTTTGTTTTAAATTCGCACATTTTATTGAGAGTAGAGTGAAAGGGGCGAAGATGAAACGAGTGCGAAAATTTCCCTGTTAACAATAGTGTTTTTTTTTAAATCAAAACCTAATAATTTCATATTTCTCTCCATGGATCTGATGAGTCATTTTTCAAATTATATGGGTAACAATGTGTGGGTAATTCTTTTCATATTACTTATGGAAAGATGTTTCTTGTATCGAGTCATCGTCCTTTTATTGTAAATGAGCCACAGAAAATATACATATATGCTTTAACCTTGTAAGTTTTGCACAAAAGAAGCCTTATATTGTATTTTTGTCGAAAATTTCAGAAGAGTTATTATTCTAAAAATGAAATTAGCTTAAAGATGTTAAGAAGTTCAAAATGTGTCATTGTTTTCTTAAAGAACTTTATTCGGTAATAACCAATATTTGCCCTCCAAAATCAAACTTTGACGGAGATATATTTAAGTAGGTTCTTAAACTGGGGAATATATGCTGACTTCAAAACACTGAATATTTTCATTAGCAGTGACGTCATATGTTTGAAATGACGTCACGAAAATGCCGTAAATTTAAAATTTCCATGATATGTACAGAGAAATGTATATTTTACGTCGATATTTTGAGTAAAAGTCACTGAGCGCAGATCTGATCAGGCTCAATATTTTGATATTATATTTAGAATGATAATATCAATGAAATATGTAAATATTTTTCCTGAGCAAACTTGCGCTCTATAAATTTTAAAGCTAAAGTTGTTGAAATTTTGTCCATTTTGTATTCTTTCTAAAAAATTATATAAAATCAACTAGTTTGTGACGTCATAAAAACAAAAATTGTGAATAAACTACTTTGAAACTATAAAGTGATCTGTTAAATTATATTTCTCTCACAATTTATAAAATTAAGCACATTTCAAGAATTTTTCAAATTTGGGTTTTGTAGGGGCAAAGGTATGCATTATGCCGCATATAGTTCTTTGTGAAATGGATGTTCTCTCAAACTTTGATGCCGTCGTTAGATATAAAGTAATTAGTCTTGTGCTTTTAAATACAACTTCTTTTTTTATAGGACATAAATGTACTTGTACTTGCACAACGCAAGACGTGTTTTCTTTTCATTAAATTTAAGATTTTTATTAGCTCACCTGAGCCGAAGGCCCAAGTGAGCTTTTCTGATCAGATTTTTTCCGTCGGCCGCCCGTCTCTCTGTCTGTCCGTCTGTAAACTTTTCACATTTTCGACTTCTTCTCAAGAACCACTGGGCCAATTTTAACCAAACGAGGTACAAAGCATCCTTGGGTGAAGGGAAATTTAAATTGTTAAAATAAAGGGCCAAGGTTCCTCACAAGGGGAGATAATCAAGAAAAGTTAATAATAGGGTGGGGTCATTAAAAATCTTCTGAAGAAGAACCGCTGGGCCAGAAAAGCTGGAACGTATGTGGAAGAATCCTGCGGTAGTGTAGATTCTGAATTGTTCAAATCATGACCCCCGGGGGTAGGGCGGGGCCACAATGGGGAATCAAAGTTTTACATAGAAATATATAGGAGAAATCTTTAAAAATCTTCTTCTCAAGAACCACTGGGCCAGAAAAAGTGAAACGTATGTGGAAGCATCTTGGGGTAGAGTAGATTCTAAATTGTTCAAATCATGATCTCCGGGGTAGGGCGGGGCCACAATGGGAAATCAAAGTGTTACATAGAAATATATAGGAAAAAT